AACTCAGTTGTGCAAGGGATTCGTATAGAGAAAATGAAACTCATGAGGTTTTAAGTGGAAACTTTTTGATTGATCATGTTCATGGTTTTCAAAAATTCAGTTCTCTAATTACCTGTCTTTCATGCATTCTTGCTCTCAAGCTTCTCAAGGACATGATCCAAAAAAGGTTTTTGCATGATCATATAAATGTAATGCGAAGAAACTTGAAGAAGATTCGTGCTAAAAGGCTTAAAGTAATAACTTTTATTATGTGGAAAATTTGTATCGATCAAATGTTGTAACTTGTTAAACCTGAACTCAATTGATGCTGTATGAAGTATAATGTTGTATGAATCCTCCCACATCTGGATTATTCTGCTTGGCTTTGTCCCATGTTTTATTGTTCTGCTCAATGCTAATTGTATTTCTTGTGTACCCTGATTCAGGGCAGATAGTAATACAGCTTTCTTTCCTCTAAAGTATTAATTGGAGGCATTTTGGCATGCTTTTTTACTTACGTGATGATCACTTGTCTAGGGCAGCTCTTTTTGCTTTTCCTTTTTTTTTTTTTTTAACAAAAATGAATTTTAGGCTTTCTTGAGTTTAGCAAGTAGCATAAAAGATGCAAATGTCTAGGTTGAGCTGTTAAGTAAACAAACCACGTTGAAGTTTATTAGGATAAGAAGGATAAGAGAAGATAAAAGAAGAAAGCAAGAAAATTTATTGATAATGATATTTCCTTTAATCTCACACACTTTTTCTCTCCTTTATGCACTTCCTTTTGTTCTTGCTTTGTATATGATGTATCCTTGAGCTTATCTAGCATTGTGAAATTCGAATTTAAATCTCATAGATTCTCATGATCACATGTTAGTTTAGAAGTGATTAATTTAAATCTTTTTATCTCTTGTTTGGTTTACAATTCTCTTCAGTTAATTAGTGATCATGACAAGAAGTGGCCCTTTTTCTTCTTTTTTATTGTTTATTTATTGTTTTGATGGCTCTGAGAACTTTTCTCCTGCTTTTGGGGTTATTAGTTGAAGTTTGTGAAGAAAGAATTTCAAAAACGTATTACCATTGTATTGCCAAGGGCTAGAACTGTTTTTAAGTCTGTCATTTAGCGATGTTACCAATATGTCACTACATTATGCTGATGATTTTACTTTTATGGCTTATTGTTTTGATGGCTCTTAGTGCTTTTGTCCTGGTTTTTGGTAATTAGTTGATGTTTTACAGAACCATATCAGCAGTGTATTGCCAAGGGCTAGAACTATTTTCTAGTCTGCCGTCAGTGATGTTGCCAACTAGGTCTAAATGCATGTGTCAATGCCTTAAGGATATTTAAATTACTATCCAACTGCTTATCAGAGCTCAATTTTGACTATTGACTGGTAATGCAATATTTCTTTTTTCCCTTTTTGACAGCCAGAAAAGAAAAATCCTAGTTTAACTCCAATGGACTGGGTCAAATTTCTTGTTTCTGCGGCTGTAGGGCTGGTTAGTTTTTCTATGGGTTGGAAATCAATGTATTGAACATATAGTCCCTTTTTTCGCGTTTGTGTTTGTGTATTACCACAGGCTGCATGCTAATTTATGAAAAAAAAAAAGAACTGGGGATCTTGGTCTAAATGTCTGCGAGTGATATCATAATTATCTCAAAGACTGGGGATCCTGGTCTAAATTTTGACAGCCAGAAAAGAAAAATCCTAGTTTAACTCCAATGGACTGGGTCAAATTTCTTGTTTCTGCGGCTGTAGGGCTGGTTAGTTTTTCTATGGGTTGGAAATCAATGTATTGAACATATAGTCCCTTTTTTCGCGTTTGTGTTTGTGTATTACCACAGGCTGCATGCTAATTTATGAAAAAAAAAAAGAACTGGGGATCTTGGTCTAAATGTCTGCTAGTGATACAATTAAAATGCTATAAAAATAAAAACTTTTCCACGATGAGAGAGGGAAAGAGAGAGATAGAACTGACGGAAATGACGAGGTGTTGATGGTGAGGAGAGAGATCTTGGGTTTGTCAGCAACTAGGCGGCGACGACGAGAATCGGCGGCAGTAACAACGACAATCAAAGGTGGCGACAGCGACAATCGAAGGCGGCGGAAGCAGGTATCAGAGTCTACAACGCCAAGAATCAGCAGCTAGAGAGAGGAGCGAGAAAGAGGAAGAAAGGCGGAGGAATTTTTGAAGAAGATGGCAACGAGTTTCTGAAGAAGGGGAAGAAGGGCGACGACGAGTTTCTAAAGAAGGGGAAGAAGGCGACGATGAGTTTTTGCTTTTTAATGAAACTGATGCGTGCGTGGGTGTGTTTCTAATTTTTAGGTATGGTAGGTTAAGGTCCCGTTCATGATTCGAGTTTTACTACAGTAAAAAACTCTCATAAACAATCACATCTAATTTTATAACTACAATAAAAAGTTCTTACATAAAGTCACATCTCAACTCGAATTAAAAACTCGAATCAGCGAACTAAACAGACCCTAAAATGATTTTCCCACAAAAATTTTGTTCTTTTTTTGTTACCAAAAACATATTTTTGTTCCTTTGGTAGCAAAAAATTTCTTTTTGTCACCAAAATATGAATTTGGTAGCATAATTATATTTTCTACTACCAAAATTTAGTACCAGAAAATTATGTTTTTTGTTACCAAACATTATTTTGGTAGTCAAAAGCATATTTTTTGCTACTAAAATTTAATTTGGTAGCAAAAAGACATTAAAAAATTTATAAAAAAAAACACTTTTTGATGACAAATATTATTTTAGACTCATTGTTCTAGTAACATTATAACAAAAAATATAGTTTTGAAATAGCAAGATTATATATTACTCTATGTGGAACATAAACTTAATTAATAATATCACATATATATACACATGAACATGTCTCTTGTTACACCTACACAAAATAATTAAATTATCAAATAATTGTTATACACAATATACTAGGATGATTGTTAAAACTTAATATATGACATATTTATGGAAAACAAAAAAAAAAACAATACATGCACAAAATATAAGTTTTAAAGTTTTATATAATTTGCTACCAAACACAACTTTTGGTAGCAAAAACGCATTTTTGTCACCAAAATAAGAATTTGGCAGCAGAATCATGTTTTCAGCTACCAAAATTTGGTACCATAAACTTATTTTTTTGTTACCAAACATAGCGAGATTATATACTACTATATGTGGAACATATACTTAATTAACAAGATCGCATATGTGTACACATGAACATGTCTCTTATTACACCTACACAAAATAACTAAATTACAAAATAATTATTATACAAAATATACTAGGATGATTGTTAAAACTTAATATAAGACATATTCATAGAAAACTAGAAAAAAAAAAAAAAAAAAAAAAAAAAAAAAAAAAAACAAGACAAGCACAAAATATAAATTTTAAAGTTTTTATATGATTTGCTACCAACCACAACTTTTGGTAGAAAAAAACATCTTTTTGCAACCAAAATATGAATTTAGTAGCAAAATTTTATTTTCTGCTACCAAAATTTGGTAGCAAAAAATTATGTTTTTCGGTAGCAAAAACTTAATTTTTCGCTACCAAATTTTGGTGGCAGATAGTTATATTTTACTTCCAACACTTGGTAGCAAAAGTTATTTATTTTGCTACCAAAAATAATTCGGTAGCAAATACCTTGGGCGGGAAAAAATTTTGCTTCCCGCCAACATTTTGTTACTAAAATATGTTTGGTAACAAAAAAAATAATATTTTGCTACCAAATTTTGGTGGTAAAATCTTATGCTTTTGTTACCAAATATTGTTTTGGTAGCAAAAAACTATTGGCAGGAACCAAATTTCATTTCCCGCATCTTATTTTTTACCAAATTATATTTGGTAGTGGATTGTGTTGATTTTACTACCAAATTTGGTAACTAAAAAGCCTTGATAATTTAAGCTACTAAAGTTTGGTAGCAAAAAGTGCGTTTTTTGCTACGAAAAATTTTTTTGCATCAAAAATTTGGTCTCTTAAAGTGATTATTCTTGTAGTGAATGTCTCTCTCTGTGCTCGAGAGAGAAGAAAACATAAATAAAAAATGAAAAACGACTAAAAGTCATTTTTCAATTCTCTCCCATTTTACACTAAACCAAAAAATCATTTTTATTACTGTTTTTTATCTTTAATTGTGTTAAACGCCGTTTCTCTCCCATTTTCATTTTTCTCTCTCAAAAAACGATAAAACAAAAATAAAACCAACTTCAAACACTGCCTAAGTTTCCCAATAGATGTTGGGGTGTTGTTGCTTAAGCCTCTCTTCTTTATTTTTGACTCCATAAGCTTCGTTTTCTGGGTTTCTTTTTGGTCGTTGTTCTTTTTCTCATGGTTTAATGAATTCCTTCTTCAGAAAAAAAAAAAAAAAAAAAAAAAAAAAAAAAAGAAAGGTTCCATGAATACATTAAGGGGGATTTTTTTTTTTTTTAAGAATTCCAGTGTAAACATAAAACTAATTAATATATAAGAGATTAGGTTGAGAAATTTGTGATAATTATGAGCAAGCAATTAAAGTAGAATACACTAAGAGAGAGAAAAATGTTTACAAAGAGTCCATAGACAAATCATCCATATATAATCTTTAATTTATTGGGTGTACTATATAAGTAAAATGACATAGTAAACCCGGTTTATTGAATATTCTCACGTCTCTCATTATTCATCATTTAAGAAGACGTCTCTCATTATTCATCATTTAAAAAAAAAACATGGGTCTACTATCTATTGCTCCCCAAAAATTTAATTATAGGAAGCTAATTAATAAAATGCTGCCTTTTAATTGAAATATTTACCTCGGGAAATGAAATAACTAATTCAGAATCAGGAAAAAAAAAAAAAACTAATTCAGGACACTTATCAGACGGCTCAAACATGTCCGAATTTTCATAAATGAATAAGAACTCATCAATAGTTTATAGGTTTTAACAAAAAGTTTTGAAAAAAATTCAAATTTTTATAAAAGAAAATGCATTAAAAACAAAAAAGAGTTTGAATTATGATTCAAATCTATAAACGAAAGGCATGCTTAATATAATACATCAGTCAGTCCACAAAGAGAAGTTGGAGTCACCAGAATATTCATCCAAATTAACATAATCGTCCCAACGAAAACCACTTTGCAGGCTTGGTGGAGTGAGAATCAACCCCTCCGCCATGCTATCAAGCAATCCCGGCATATTAAACAACTCCTCCTCATCTACGTAAACAGTTTTTAAACCGTCAGATTCCCATCTCTCTCCTCTCTCCATGCACGCCGTTGACGCCGATGCCGACGCCGACGCCGACACCGACGACAAAATTGCACAGGTACTACTCCCGTTATTTCTTTCCAAAACCGCCTCCACCTCCGCCGCAATCGGTGCTGCACACCCTACAACTTCACTTACCGACTGCAAGGACGACGACGACAACAGAGAACCATGTCGTTGCATGTCCCCGGCGGAATCGGGGAAGTTCAGCGAAGCGGAGTCGCCCTTTACGGCCAAGGCGGCGACGTCGTAAGCCCTAGCGGCCATGTCCGGGGAAGAGAAGGTTCCGAGCCACAAGCGAGACTTGTTCTTCTGGCCGGGTTGTCTCAGCTCGCAAACCCACTTTCCCTTTCTCTGTCTTACGCCTTTGTAGACCGGGTGACGAGTCTCTTTGAACTTCTTCCTTCCAGATTTTTTCTTCTTCATCGTCTCTGAAGTAGAAGTATTAGTAGTAGTAACAGTAGTACTAGTTTTCTGGCATGGATTTACAGATTTCTTGTTAAGGACGTGGCTTGAGGTTGAAGACGATGATTCTTCAGCTCTGAAATTCATAGCTATATTAATGGAAGTCAATATGTTCATAGGATTAGGAATAAAGTTATCTTTTTTTTTTTTCCTTTTTAGTGAAAAGGAAAGAGATTTTAAATAGATATTTATATATTTGTGTGTTCTTTTTTTTTTTTTTCTGTAAAGGAGAACATGTAGTACGAAGAGGAAAGCGATAGTCTTATAGCACGTGGAATATTCCAGGAGAAGTACCTTTTAAAACGTGGTTTGTTATGGCCCTTATTTTATTTCTCCACGTGGGGAAGACTCTCGTCTTTTTTATTCTTTTTTCCAGAAAACACGTGGGAAAAATATTATTAATGTCTCTTTCTAGTTTCCTTAAGTTTTATTTCAAGGTAACATTATCTGACCATTTTACTACAACTAACAACCTTTTTTTTTTTTTTTTACTTTTTATTATTTGGGTTTAAGGATTTGTAACGAATAATATCTCATTTCAGTCTAACGAATAACGATATGTGTAGTATTGTTTGTTGCTAATTTAGTATTACTGTGATATAATTAAAAATATGTTCCATAACTCCAATTTTTTTTCCTAATAATTGTATAGTTAGTAAAAAAAAAATTGTGACCGGTGTAGAATAAGAGTAATTTTTGCATAACTATTTTGTTGTTTCTGTTTAAATTGACTAAGATATCCTTGATAATGAACTACAATTCTTAATCTGTGTATTCATTTTATTTATCTTTCTTAAAAACACATTCTATTTTTCTTAAAAAAAAAAAAAAAAAAACCAAAACCAACCATCTTTTAATCTTAAAATATACAAACTTTTCCCATTAAAGCATGAAACCTCAAATTTAATTTTAGATTTGCTATTAGGTTATTTAATATTTATTGTACATTGCGTCGCTAAAACTTAACGACGACACGTGTTGTCGATAAAAATTATTTAGCGACTAACTTTTAGCAACGACTTTTCAACGATGAATTGTCGCCGCTTAAAGTTTTTTAGTGACGACATTGGTATTTTTCGCGACGACACTTGTCGTCGCTAAAATGTCGTTTTCTTGTAGTGGGTATGCCACCCAACGGAAAAATTTTGTGAATAATTTTCTTAATTCAGGTGGATGGACGATTCCCGTTTATAATCTTTTGAGTTTTCCAATTTTAACCCCCTTTTTATTTTCTCTTATTATTTCAGGTTAACCAGTTCAGTGGTCTTCTTCTTCACATGGTTTTTCTCTTCTTTTCTTTTTAAAAAACTTCTACTCATAATTTTAATAAAGTTATATCATGTTATTTGACTCTGTTTCTTCCATTTTTTTCAATATTTGGTTCAAACTTGAAGATTTTGTGATTTTCCTTTCGAGCTTAAAATTCGGAGTAAAAAACAATTAAATTCGTTCATACAATCAGATTCTGCTTCCCCTTACTGAAATCTGGCAACATCACCATCGATATCGAGCACGGCAAGAGACCAAATTATGACTTGAGGAGCAAAATGTCTCATTTTTTAAACTTAAGACTAACATAAGATTTTTCACGTGCCATTAATGTTGAATTTAACCCTTTGGGTGAATAGCAATTTTTAGAGGACGATTACAACTAAAACCATAATGATTGGTTTTCCAACATGCATTATTAATTGGCCGGTGTCGGTTTGAGAGGTGATCAACGAATCGAATTAAAGATCATATATTTTCTCTTCGTGATTATTACAGATAACTCACGTGGCCTAAACTTTGTCGTTATGGATCATCTATAAACTTGAATTTGTGGCCTAAAATAATTGAAACACAAGTATAATAAAATAGAAAATGTGTTGCACTTTTCTTATCACACTGGTTAGGTTATGTTGGGGTCTCTCTCTTGGGATAGAATCAGCTGCTTTTTTAGGCATAATGTGTGCTGGTCCAAAATTCCAGTTAGGGTTGTTAATGAGTTGGGTTGGTGCGGGGGAGGATTTTTTCTGTCCCCGTCTCAAAGGGTGCAGGTTACACATATTTGACTCCAACGATATTAGAAAATTTTTACAACCCAATGATGTTTGGGTTGGGTTGGGTTGGGGCGGTGCGGGGTGGGTTAGGTGGTCAGTTTCAACATTCAAAGAATCAAAGACTCAAAGTTCAATCCAACATTCAAAGTTCATCATCAAATAGAAATTATAACTCAAACATTTAAACAGATGGCAATTCAAAGCTCAATCCAACATCAAACATGAAGTAAAGTAGTTCATCCAACAAAAAACATAAAGAAAACATTAAGTAAAGTAGTCCATCCAACAAAAAAACATAAAGAAAACATAAATTAGTCTACACTCATAAATTAGTCTTAACATAAAGTAAACATAGAGGCTTAATTCAAATTCATCCAAAGCAAGCACTGCAACAGCAACCATCCTTATCAATCCACACTCATAGGCTCCCCAATAATTGTAGTAGGACATGAAGTTGAGTTATCTATAAGAGAAATGAAAATAGATAAAGTAATAATTTGAATAGTTTAGAGTTCATATAATAAAATAGATTAAGATACATACAAATTATTGTCTTACCTAGGTTTTCATAAGTCTCCAAGTCATCCAAATAGTCTTGCTTGTATACAATCATGTGTAGACTTAAACCAATTTTGAGTACAAACAAGAGCCTCCGCCATCTTGCCTAGGATTAGATATTAGAGGATGTAAGTTTGAGTGCAGGTTGAGTTGGAGTGTGCGGGCCATTATAAGCCCAACCCACACCCCACCCTAAAATTTCGGGCCAGATATTGAATGGGCTGAAAAAAAAATTTAATGCTAGAAATTGTAATTTTTCAAGTATGATTGGGGTGGAGTGGGTTTTGCGGGTTTATGAACAACCCTAATTCCAATATAATTCTCTCTCTAAAAGTGTAGAGTCTCTCGCATGATGATGGTAAATATTTTGTGGGAAAGAAAAAAAATATATATATATATATATTTTTTTTTTTTAATTCTTAGCTCAAGTTGAACCCATGTCTCTATTGAAACTCGACCATATTTTACTTCATACCGTTCGATCTAATGATTATTGACCTAATTCTTACATTCAACACAAGTGCTATTCATAAAAATAATATAGCAATCATATATAAATTTAACAAGTGCTACTATTCATGAGGATAATATAACAAGTATGATCACCTTTTGTTTTGTGTCTTGAAAATAACTAGGTTGTCTACAGTTACGCAACAATATGTTTATAGGAATTGTCTCTAGTCGAGCACTTGGAAAGTGCCTAACCGGAACGGCAGTAGTATAATTCTGTATAAATTGTGTATATTTACATGTAAATTATGATGTTTATATATAAAGTCGTGTATGTTAAGTTATAAGAAACGACAATGTATATTAATCCTTAAAACATGTATTTTTTATAGCAATTAGTGAATACATAGCATGAAAATATGTATATTGACAGATTTGTTGTATTTCATGTTAAATATACACGAATTACATGTAAATATACACGATTTATATATAAATATACATCATTTATATAAAAATATACAACTACCGTTCCGGTCAGACATTTTCCAAATGCCTGACCGGAGACCTTACCTATGTTTATATGTTTATTAGTGGTGGAACTTCGGGCCGACGAGCAGCCCGAATCCTGAATTTTTTTGGGCTCGGGCGGGCAGGCCCATATGCCGGCCCGTCCAAGGTGGAAATTCAGGCTCAAGCTCGGGTAGCCTGAATTTTGAGACCACGCCGAAGCCCGCCGCCGTGTAGGTGCCGTCGACCGCCGTCCGCCGGAGTGTCTTTTGAATTTTTCCGGCCATGCCCGACCCGCCCGAAAAAACATTCAAAAATCCGACCATTGTGCCCAACCCGAAAATAAGCCTGAAAACCTAAATTTTGCCCGAATGCCCGAATCCAACGGCTACTTTTTTGCCCGTTGCCGCCCGAACCCGACCCGCCGAACCTAACTAGCCGTTGCACATTGATTTTTTTGAAAAAAAAATTCAATTTTTTAACCCAAAAATTTCTCTATAAATACCCCCCATCATCCACACATTTTTCTCACTCAAACTCTCTCAATCCCTCTCAATTTCTCTCAATCTCTCTCAACTTCTCTCAATCTCTCTCGATCTCTCAAATCTCTTTTAAAATTTTTTAAAAAGCTATCACATTATCCTAAAGCTCTCTCTCTCAAATCGCTCTTATTTTTTTATAATGGATCATTTTGGTTATAGTGGTATTCCTGTTGATGCCCAACACAACATGGAAGAAGGACAATTTCCCACTAATGAATTTGTTACGTAGGAATCTACTAATCCGAGCCATGGTGGACGTACTGGAGGTCGTGGTCGCAATGATGGTGGGTGTGGAGAAGCGGTGAGTGCCAGTGCGACTGCGTCTGCAAGTGTTGCAATCTCTAGGAGAAAATGTAAACGCACCTCGACAGTTTGGGATCACTTCAACATAATTGATGAGATCGACAATGAAAGTAACACTAAACGCATCTATTTTTATAATGATATATGTGCAAAAGAAAATATAAACGCATCTATTTTTCTTCAATTTAGACACGTGTCAATAAAGAACACGTGGTCAGAAAATGCTTTCTTTCATAATGTCGTGCGTCGCAAGGCATCCAATTATTAAAGAAGACATGTAACACGTATGTGTTCGACAGTTGAATTTAATAAGTGGTTGTTAGGTTTGAAACGAACATGCTAATCACGAAGTTCCACAAAATTACACTTTTCTTTTTCTTTTTCTTCCACGATCATCAAAAACTCATTTATTAATCTTTATAATTTCCCAATTTACATCTCCTTTTAGCTGTATTTTTCACTTTTCATTCTGAGTGATGTGGGGAACTTAATTTTCCTTTTTTTTAGGTACTATATATATAGGGAGCTTCTCTTAAGTTATTAAATAATTAACTACCGAAAAATTTTTATTTTTAACAGTTAAATATGTGTCTATTTTATATATTTTTTTAATTTAATTTAATTTTAATTAAATTTAATAATTAAAAATTAATTCTACTGGAGAAATCCTAGCAAAGAAACTCCATAAGTATAATGCTCTGGGTCTTTGACGTTACTAAAGGGACTTTTGGGGGAACTTTCACGTTCGAGCCTATATATAATTTCTGCATTTCATTGACATTGACTTTCACATGGTATTTTAGCGTTATTAAAACGTTTTTATCTGAATATTTATTTTTCTTCTTTTGAAAGTCAATATTTAGAGAGAATGGGTTTTTATCTTTACATATTAGTGTCTACGCACTTTTACTGTTCATTGTGGTTGACTTTTACTTTCCCACTTTATCCCTTTTCTTTTTTTGCTTTTACTTTCTTCAACTAAAAGATTAACTCTTTTTTTGTCGTTTTTGCTCTCCTTTTGATAAATATAAGAGCTTTCTTTTTTTTTTTTTTAATCGTCGTTTGCTCTCAAATATTGCACCCACTCTAGCTCCTAACTTCTAAGCGCTGGTGGCTGATAAGGAAATGCCATCTGTGGAAAGGTAGAATTTGTGCTTCCTTGCTGCATGGAGACAATTGGCCCACTGTTTATTGTCAATGTAGCAATCAACGATGAAAAAAAAAAAAAAAAACCCATTTGCACTACATCCCAAATTTTTGGTTGGGTAAACTAAAAGGATAAATTTGTCGGAAGAAATTTAGATTTGGGAGAATGAAAAGAATAGAGAATGCAGAAAGAAGGGTTTGAGGCGTATAAGAATACTTTCTTTTAAGGTTTTATTTGCCCTCACTTTTCAAAGTTTGCTAACGAGTTCTAAAATAGCAAATTACCCCCAAGATACAACAAACCCTTGAACACAATATCCAACAAAAATATTGAGTTCCAGAACAATTATATTTATGTATTTTTTCTGAAGTCAATCATAAAAGGACAGGGATGCATCCATCCTCTTTAAGAGTTACAACCTTTCACATAAAGATACCTTTTCAATTTGATGGTTATCTTTTATATGCTGATGCACTTATAACAATAGTTATTTCTATTGTTAATAAGTGCTCAGATATGTGAGAAAATATATCACAAATAGATGCAATTGTTCGAGACCTTTTCAGATCACTAAAACACCCAAACACATTTTCCGTCGATGATTTGCGCTGCAGCGCCCAAGAGGCGCGCTGCAGCGCGCGGGCTTAGCAAAAACAGACCCGAGAGGTCTGTTTTACGCAAGCTGCAGCGCCCAAACGCGCGTTGCAGCGCGCCCGTGCGCTGCTGCGCGCGGGCCTAGCAAAACAGACCCGAAAGGTCTGTTTTGCGCAGGCTGCAGTGCGTGCTTGCGTCAGCCCACTCTTCCCGAATGTGTTTTAATCCAATTTTGTGATATCAAGATTGAGAGATATATTACAATCTCTCTAACAAAATTGCTACATTTTAAAATTTTTTATTTGCATGTTACATCTCAAATTGTTTATTTTAACATTTAGAATCTTAAATTGTGTTATTATTGACAATCTCTCAAGTTACCAGTTCGAGAACCGTTACTCATAAGAAACTATAGCTTAAGTAGAACAAAATAATAAAAATAACACTACACACCCAAGAATAGTAATCCTTATACATAGCATTTAACATTACAAATCACAAATCTTAAAATTTAGTTTAAAGACTCGTCATGAAACCTCAGACCATTCTTGCTCAATTAAATAAAATATCTATTTGAGACTCACTTTACATGTATCACAAGAACTATATGAGCTCAAGCTCAGTAAGTAAATCACAAATAATTTCCGCTTAAAAATAAGTTCCACTTAACATTTAGAGCCTCTTGTATAACATTAATCTTGTGTTATTAGAACCTCTTTTATGTTGCACTTATCTTAGAATCTCTTATTCTTTAAAAATTCAGCCATCCGCCATTATCATATCTCAGTCGGTTCATTATAAATAGCACAAAATTTCACATCATACTATTAAAAAAAACATTTTCAAAATCTCATGAAATTATATCAACATTGAGATATATAAATTGAAAATTTTAATTAAAATCATACTATTGTTCAAGTGATACAGTGAAATGTATAATTACAAGTAATTAATAAAAAGTAAAAACTCTATCTTCCATCCTCTCTCTCCCTCTCTATTCTCACCTTTTTTTTTTTCTTCTTCAGTTATAAGCCTAGAAGTTAGGTTGGAATCCACACCTATATTTTGTTCAAGCTTATTTACAGAAGATACGTGCCATCAAATGATTAAATGTAATGCCTTCAAGCCACCTCAGTGACCTCACTATAACTTATATGCTAAGTGCCACCTCTTGCTTACAGCTTCCAAAATCATAATATATAAAAACTAATTTTATCATTTCCTTCTTAACAAAGCCAGGTTCTAAAAAAAAAACATTTGAGCATTACAATTCTCCTCTTATTATAAAAATTTCGTCCCTAAAATTTAATAATTTTAATTTCTCAAAATTAATAATTGTGCTCAAATAATTTACAAATATAACTATTTATTATAATATAAATCCTATGTTGACAATATTTAGTCTCATGACATACTCACTATGTCTCTGAAAACGTAATGCTTAAATTTTGTGAGTACATTTGTGTAAAACTTCAAGCAAATTCCATTCATTAATTGATTTTTTTTGCCTACTAGACCACAAGTATCACTACAAGAATTTGAATTTTTCGTTACTAAAAATTTGGTAACTAAAAGTCCTGTTTTTGGTAGCAAAATGTTTTTATTACCAAAAAATTTTAGTAGCAAAAAGTGCATAACAGAAAGTATTAGTTACCAAAATTTTGATAGCAAATAGTTTTTGCTACTAACAAATTTTTTAGTAACAAAATGTATTTTGTAGCAAAATGTATGATATTCAAAGACCAAAAATTTCAATAACAAAAGGTTTTTGGTAGAAAAAAGTGCGAGTTTTACGACCCTGAAATTTTGGTAGCAAAACGTACGCGATTCAGTCACCAAATATTTGGTAACAAAAGGTATTTGGTAGCAAAAGCCATGAGATTTAAAGACCAAATATTTGGTATCAAATTATATTTGGTACCGAAATGTATGAAATTTAGTGACCAAATATTCGGTAGCAAAAGGTATTTGGTGGCGAAAAATATGAGATTTAAGGACTAAATTTTTAGTAGCAAAATGTATTTGATAACGAAAAGTACAAGATTCAAGTACCAAATATTTAGTAGCAAATTACTAATTTGTTGCTACTAAATTTTTTTGGTCACCAAAACTGAGACAAATTTATATACCTATATTTTTTAAATATATATAAATAAAATACCAAATATTAATTTAAAAATCTCTAAATATTTCAATACATATTAGAATTTAAACAAAATACTAAAATAATCATACTTAAGCAAACCCAAACACTTATGCAAATATTGTATTAGTAAAATCTTAATATTACAAGAATTAAACGCTCTAACAAAACTGAGGCCGGTGGTGGCAGTGCCGGAGGATCTTCTCTTCTTGGGACGGAAGGTCCAAGATGATCTGATGGCGGATTTATCTGTTGAAATAGCTTTTAAATAAGCTCATGCTGTTGCTTCATTAGAATTTTCATATCTGACATATGGCGTTTGTTTTCCTGAACTTCATTTTGAAGCTTTTAATATTCTGACCCTTTAGATTTGCGAACTTGTAACGCTTTTCTTAGTACAGGATCTATGCCACGCTGGAAACCATATTTTTCATACCTCTCACTTGACAAAACTTGAGAGTAAATTTCTTCCTCCGCATCAGAGTCAAGTTCTGACCCCTGTGGTACTTCACTTAAACGAGCATTGCGAATTTGGATCATTTGTTCCTGCATTAGGCCAAGTGTTATAAACATTCAAGTTAGAGTAAAAAAAATACAAAATCAAACAAAATAATAAAGTGTTTAGTAATTCTTACATAATCTTCCTTTGCTCTCTCAGTTGTTCATCCACGTGATTCGCTCCAATGAGTATTCTTAAAAACCTCAAAGTACCCTCCCGAAGCATTTGAGTCAGAACTCAAATGTGTATTCTACATAGAAATCATTTTTTGTTAGTTAGTTAAAAAGAAAAAAGAAATTATGGTTTCAAGTGGTAATATACTTAAGTGAGTGAAAGTTAATTAATGAACTTCCTCCAAATGTTGAACTATAGATCTTGAGCCACTCAAATAACTTGTTGGCTTTTTAGAATGATTTTTCACAACAGCCTGTGCATTTTTTCTGTATAAATGAAAAAAGAGACATTTAAATACATTAAAATATAATAGAAATTTCGACATCACCTCCCCTACAATTTCAATTAACTCCGAAAATCCAAAACCACACATATTGGTTCAATTTGCATATCCAAAACCACATTCTCAAACAAATGTCTCATAATACAGTTAAGTTGTTCATTTTACCTGCCATTGATCATCGCCAAAGCAATTGGTACACATCCAAATCAGTTTTCTTTTTTTTCTTACATTACAAATAAATAGTAAATAATTAAATGTGAAATGCTCTCCAAACTTAAGTACTTGAGAATTCTCAATTTTCATCCACGTTTTTTTTGTCCAAAATGGATGAATGCAGCCCTTTCTTTTCTACATAAAAATCTTAATCTATTAATAAGCAGAACACAAAATCCATCAACACCTCCTCCTCATATATCCTAATCCGGCTGAGTGCATTTTTTTTTTTTTTTTTTGCCATTTTTCCAGTTTCACAGCAACCAAACCTTTTGAATAAAAAATTCATCAACACCACATAAACTACAAAACAGAAAACAGCAAACAGCATCCATGGACCACATAAACCAGCAAACACAAAAAAAAAAAAAAAAAAAAAAAAAAAAAAAAAAAAAAAAAAAACATCAGCATGCATTATAACAAAAATTCCAAAACTTCTCCACAAAAGACAGGTGCTAAACTTAAAACATTGGCTAACTCCATGAGCTCATGATAACAAGAACCCACAAAGTTCCTCAAAGTTCTAAGGAGTTCAATGAGAACGATAAAATAATTGTCTTTCAATGCCAGAATTATCAATATATAAAACTTTGCATTACAATCAACGGCAAACAACAAACAGAACCCACAGCAAACCAATCCCCAAAGCTCAATATCAGCAAACAACAAGTAAAAAACACAGAACCAGCATTAACCCAGAACACAAATCCCACAAATCAGAGCATTTTCTCATTTTTTCGGTCCTCAGAAATTTGAACCCAACCTCCAATAATTCCACTGAGAATCCCAGTAATTAAGAAATTGAAATCAGTGATTGAAACCAAAACTTTGCAATCAGTTATTAAGAAATTAAAATCAGTGATTGAAACCAAAACATTTCCACGATGTGAGAGAGAGAGATAGAACTGACCGGAAAGAAGGAGGAGATGTTGATGGTGAGGAGAGAGATCTCGGGTTTGTCGGCAACTAGGTGGCGACGACGAGAATCGGCGGTGGCGACAGCGAGAATCGGCGACGGCGAAAGCGGGAATCGGAGTCGGCGACGCCGAGAATCAGCGGCTAGAGAGAGAAGGAACGAGAGAGAGATCTAGAAATAGAGAGAATTTCTTGGGGAGTGGAAGGCGGAGGAGGAGCGGCAGCTGGAGAACAAAGCGGAGGAGTTTCTGAAGAACATGGCGGAGGAATTTCTAAAGAAGATGTGTTTCAATGGCGAGGAGTTTCTGAAGATGGAGAAGAATGGGGTTGGGCGGGGGAAGGTTAGGTGAGGCCATCGATGGTGAGATCAGGCCAGGGAAGATGGATCTTCATAGAGAATACTCCGCCTCTCGTTCCTTTTTTGGTCGCTCACTGCTTTCCTGAAGCAAGGGACTGATTGCCCATTTCCACTAGGGCAAGCTGCAAGGAAGAATGCGCAGTTAGGGGAATATCCGTTGGGTGTGTTTTGAATTTTTAGGGAGGGTAGGTTAAAATGTTTTTCCCATAAAAATTTTGTTCTTTTTTTGTTACAAAAAAAAAAAAAAATGCTTTTGTTCTTTTGGTGGCAAAAAAACGTCTTTTTACCACCAAAATATGAATTTAGTAATATAATCATATTTTCTGTTACCAAAATTTAATACTAAAAAATATTTTTTTGTTATCAAATATTATTTTAATAGTTAAAAGTATATTTTTTATTATTAAATTTGAATTTGGTATTAGAAAGACATATATTAAAAATTAAAAAAAAAACATTTTAATGGCAACAATTATTTAAAAATCATTGTTCTAGTAATATTATAATAAAAAATATAGTTTTAAAATTGAAATACATAATTTAAAGTTAAAAATCAATCAAATAGTAAGATTATATACTACTCTATTTGGAACATATATTTAATTAATAAGATCACATATATACACATAAACATGTCTCCAATTACACCTACACAAAATAACTAACTCATCAAATAATTGTTGTACAAAATATATTAGGATGATTGTTAAAACTTAATACATGATATATTCATGAAAAACTAAAAAAAAAAAAAACAATACATGCACAAAATATAAGTTTTAAAGTATTTATATGATTTGCTACCAAACACAACTTTTGATAGTAAAAAACACCATTTTGCCACCAAAATATGAAATTGGTAGTATAATCATGTTTTCTGCTACCAAAATTTAGTACAAGAAAATTATGTTTTTTGTTACCAAATATTATTTTGGTGGCCGAGAGCATATTTTTTGCTACTAAATTTGAATTTGTGTGTTTTCTGCTACTAAAAATTTTTTGGTAACAAAAAATTTGGTCTCTTAAAGTAATTATTATTGTAGTGTATAATATACTTTTGAATTTAAGGATGTTGTTTGCCAAATTTGAAAATTTAGGATCCGAATTTTTAAAACTGATAAATCTATGGTGCAAAAATGGAATTAACCTTTTACGAAAACATTGCATTTTTAATTTATAGGGAATCTCCATTCTAATATACATTTTATCCATGTCTTGTAAGATTAATCTCTTTTCAATTCTCAGGAATTATAAAAATAAAAATAAAATAAAATAAAATAGCAAACCTACTATTTATTCGTGCATATATATATATATATATATATGTGTGTGTATGTGTGTGTGTGTGTGTTCTTGCTTTATTGTGTGTGCAATTAAATATACGTCAAACTTTAGCCATTGTAAGGAGCAAAATGGTGACTATTTTCTTTTCAATTGTTTTTAGGGGATCTTTTTAACTTTTTTTGTGAAATTATTATTTAATTAACCTCGTATATATATTTACACTTTAATTAAATATTAAATTAAAAAAAACAAATGACAAGAATGCACGTGCCTTGAACGTGCCCCTTCTTCCCTAGTGCTAAAACAAAGCCCTTATTTATATCGCAGCTGCAGAATTAAAGCCCTTCTTTCTTTCTTTCTTCCGCAGCTAAAACGTCAAAAAACCAAACCCTCAGTCCGAGTCTCCCATATCCAAAACCCCATTCCAATATAATATATAAATAATAAGTAATTAAAAAAAAGAGAGAACGAAGACAATAGCATATTTGATAAGGTATTTAGTAATTTATAACATTTTTTAAATAAATAAATTATAGTGTAATTTAATATTTTAAGTTTTAAATATTATTAAAAAATTAAAAATATCCCTAAACCTTTTTCACCTGATCTCTACTCCTAAACCTCTATTTTTTAGAAAATAGTAAATTATTGTATATTTTTTTAAAATAGGTAAATTATACTATAGTTTTTTTAGAATAGATAGATTATGATCAGCACTGGCGACTGACAGCTTTCGTTGGCGACCGGTGGCCGGAGCCGGCAACCAATAAATACGGTATTTATTGATAAATTTACTAGTAATTAAGTAAGGTACTACTGTACTGTTTCTTTATCTCGTAGGGAAATCTTAAGCCTTGTTTTTTTTTCACAATTTAAATTCTATTGTTACAGTATTTTCTCTTATAAAAATTCAAATACAATTTTTTCGATACAATGTTTTTCTCTCACTTATAAAACTCAAATTAAGAGTTTGAGTTGTGCTACCCTTAATGCTTCTTACTTGATAGTATTATGCATCTTTTAAACGTAAACATGGTTTTTCAACTATTAAGCGACTGAACAAAAAAAAATATGAGAATTTAAGAGAAAAATATCAGCAACCACATAACAAAAAACTATAATTATTTTGTATCGGATAATATCGTCTTTAAATCTCATATAATTCTAACTGACGGTTCAAAATACGCATACATGTAAAAAAATAATAATAATAATAATAAATAAAATTTGTACTATATATAAAGTATTATATCTTTAAGTTAAAGCCTCATGAAACTTTATAAAATCATTTAATGTTTTTTATGACATCGTGAAAAATGTGGGCTGTCAAGATAGTGATAGAGCTTGGGCAAAGTGAAGTGAGAAGTGAAAATGATGAGGCTTTGGGTGTTGACTACGTATTGATGTAAGCAATTTTGTTTAACTGCATAAACATTTATCTGCTGATCTTTAGGTATTGCAAGATTCTCAACAAGTAGATATTTATTCATCATCAAGAAATTACAAGAAGAAAAAAAAAGAAAATGTAATCCGATATAAAAAAAAGATTGTGTATGTTGTTATCCGATATAGATAATTAGGATTGCCGAAGACTGTATTAATTTGGTAGAAAAGATGGATCGCTGAATTGAAAAGATTAAAAATATAAATGACGAAAAAAGATTATAGTAATTCTTTTATAAATTATTTGTTAAGGGGGAGAGAGAATTGAAATGAAAAAGAAACTATATATTTTTTATTTGTTAATAATGTTTTAGAGAATAAAATACTTTTGAAATTTTTTAAATAGGGCTATTAAATCCTTCCATTCAGTAAGCTCAGGAAGAGAGTTCATCCCTACCTCTTTCTCTCTCTCCTCTCAACCAATAAAATTGGGGAACCCCTTTTTTCTCTTCAAAATGGTTAATTTCCAATTTTAAAAAATTTTCGCTCATGATGTCTATATGTAGACTAATTTAATGCGAAAATATCAAAATTAATCTCATTAAATGTTGTTCAAATTAAAAAAACTGTTTAAATTTTTAACTTAATTTTTAATTTGAGTAATAATGTAATGAATTTTAAATTTTAAAAGAAAAATTATTAAGATTAAAAATTAACAGACCAATTTACTAAATTTGTAAAGTTGAGGGAATGTCTCTAAAACACCATACTATTAATGCTGTGCTCTCCACAGAAGTCAAATAGCAACTAAAAAAGGAAAAAAAGAGAGAAATATGCCAACACTTAAGATGAATTAAAATTTATAGGTAAATAGTTTACATAAGTTAATAAATAGGCCAAATTACTGTTTTCGTCCATAACTTGTCTGGTTATGAACCATAACTTGACAAGTTATTGTCCATAACTTATCTGGCTATGAATCATGACTTGATAAGTTTATCCATAATTTATCTGGTCATGAACCATAACTTAACAAGTTATGACATATTAATTTCTATAACTAAAAATTAACCTATATACTTTCTTAAACTTTCATATTGACATATTTTCTACTATTTTTCCTAAAAAAAAGGAGGACATCTATCCCGGGATGAACACACCACTGGGCTAAAGGGGCCTTTTCTTGGGCTATGGAAGTCTCTCTCAAGCCCAATAAATTTCCAGGCTGAAATTTAAGTGACCTCTTCCAAAATTAGAGAATTTATCCTTCTGAATTTAGAATAAATATAATTTTGTTAGCGTAATTATTTAACTAAAAAGTTACAAATCAAGAGTAAAAGATATTTATTAAGATTATCCAATGATGTTTCTTATTAATGAGGCCTAAGCTCACATCTGTTATGTTGTTGGATATTGGGTAGTTCCTACTTCCTAAACCATATGCGCAGTGCGCACAATGAATTAGAGACAAGAACAGGAGAACTACAAGAAAACAGAGCAATAATCCCGTTTAATTCGCCGATTTGAGTTTTTAATTCGAGTTAAGATGTGACTTTATGTGAGAGCTTTTTACTGTAGCAAAAAAGTTAGATGTAACTGTTTTTGATAACATTTTACTGTAGCAAAACTCGAATCGGTAAAATAAACGGGGCCTAAATAAAGGTTCTTTCTATGATAGGAGCGATACCCACAGTGCATGAGGTTTGCTATAGTTAAAATAACACCACTATAAAAGTATGTAAAACAAAAATAATTTGATACATGTGTCAATTAGAACATAACTCGATCAGTAGGGTACTAGTTTTTCATGCCCTTCAGTAGAATTCTCCATAAATAAGAGAATCAGGTATAATTACACTTTGTCAACATATAAACCCTCTTGTTATAAATATTTTACAGAAATAGTAGAAAATATGCCAATATGAAAAGCTTAAAAAAGTATATAGGCCAACTTTTAGTTATAGAAATTAATAGGCCATAACTTATCAAGTTATGATTCATAACCAGATAAGTTATGGACAAACTTGTCAAGTTATGGTTCATAGCCAGACAAGTTATAGACAAAAATTGTGATTTATGGACAATAACTTGTCAAGTTATGGTTCATAACCAGACAAGTTATGGACGAAAACAGTAATTTGGCCTATTTATTAACTTATGTAAACTATTGATTTATTAATTTAATTCATCTCAAGTCTTGGTCTATTTCCCTCTTTCTCCCAATATTTTATTTGTAGATCTATAAGTTTGGGCCAATTAAACATATCGATCTAAAGCCTAATATTTTGGTTGACCCACATAAAAGCTCGGGTCAGCTAAGTTGAGGATCTAAGAGCTCGTTTGGTTGGAGGATTCGTTCTCTGATTCGAATTATGGTTCATGGTTCGCTACAGTATTTTTTCTCACAAAAAATACACGTAAATAAAAAATGATCCTAATCTTATAGTTTTAATCCATGAACCAAACGGGTTCTAAGTCTGAAAGTCTTATTCAGGTCAGATTACGTCAGTCCGTTTAGTTTTTTATTTTTTCCCAATAAAAAAAACTTATAAAGTTTTGGCTTGGTCTTGATCTGTAGAACTTTTAGAACTGGCTTGGGCAAACCTTTATTCCTTCCAGGCCCAACAAGGATCGAGCTGTCCAAACTTGCATCTCTCACCTAATTTACATAACGTTCTTTTCTAATCTTTTTTGGTTTCCATGTTCCCAACTACCATGAGAAGTTTTAAGCACCCAAAAAAAAAAAAACTATGTCCTTGTTTATTTCGCAGATTCGAGTTTTCAATTCGAGTTGAGATATGATATTTTCTTAAAACTTTTAACTGTAGTAAAAAAAATTAAATTAAATTTTTTTTAAAAACTTTTAATTATAAAAATCTAAAACTAAAAATTTAAATCGGTAAAATAAATAAAACTTACCGTGTGCGAAACACAATACCATTTTATAGTAACAATTAAACATGAGAATCACAAATATTTAGTAGTCAGAGTATAGGCTATTGTAGTCAAATAATTAGGTCCAGTAGTGCGCACATCCATCAAATTCAAAATCAATGGTAGGGGCCAAAGCGAAATCAAATCAAACAGAAAACGTTCAACAGTGGAATGAATGTTCTATCTTAAAAAATGTAGAGAAGCGGAAATGAAATGAAAGGTGAATTGACTGCAGTGGAAAAAAAAATATGATAAGATAAGAACTTGCCTATCGCCTCTATTGGGCAGCCTAAAGAACTTCCACACACATAGCCCATAGGTATGTGGTTTTGCTAATCTAACCCATAGGTATGTTGGTAGTAGTACATTGGCCGGTAATATAGGTTACGACACGACGACACGATTCGAAAACGACACGAATTTTGAGAGTTAGGGTTGAGAAAAAAGATGTTCGGGTCAGAATTGGGTCGACCTGAAATTGACACGAAAAACACATATCAATTTCGGGTTGGACCCGCCTAACCCGAGCACGACACGAAACTCGTAAAAAACTAAAAAATACATATATTTTTCATTTCATATTTTAAATTTTATTATGCTCTTGTGATATTATGATAGTTATACTCAAAATTGTATACTATTATTTGCTTAATTTCAATGGATATTATTGTAATTTAGTGTGTTATGAATTTTAAGTTATTTTTAATATGTAAAAAACTAAATAAAAGTATATAATTTTCGTGTCAATTTCGGGTTAACGGATCATTTTCGGGTTGTGTCGTGTCAGTTCGTAAAGTGGTCATGTTGTGTTCGTGTTGCGGTTTTTAAAAAATTTCGTGTCACGAGTCGTGTTCGGGTTGATTGTAAATTTAGAAAGAAACGATCAAAACACGACACGTAATACGAATTGCCACCCCTTAGTACTCTTCAAAATTTGAAATCCATAAAGAAATTGGTTTTAAAAAAAATAATGTTACGTGCATTACCGATATTAAATAGCATCACTAATAAAATAAATAAATTCTAAATGTGACTTTTATCACTAATAAGGTATCATTACTACAGATATCCTATAATATTCTTCTTTTTTGTACGACAATAAATATTGTAAAAAAAAAAAAACATTTAAACTTCATTCTCACGTGTTACAACAAAACAAGGGAAGTGTAACTACATAGATAGAACTTAGAATAACGTGTGATTGTAATTAAAATCTAGCTTCTTTGAGGGTAAAATTCTCCATGCATTTCTAATTGCAAGTTTCTCCAATTTGCAGTGTTGAGAATTGTGTTAAACTAAAGAACTCAATGCTAGCTCATCTCCTAAAATTTTTAAGGAGAAATTTGTAAGTTCAAACTCGTGAGGTAGATTTAAGTTATTTTTCATAGTTTCTACCTTTTTTTTTTTTTTTTTGACTTTTTGCATCTACAACTAGTATGAGACTTATATAATAGGGTATAGAAAATATATATATATATATATATATATATTGTAAGCAAGTTACACTCTTTAGTCAAATTACATCGAAATTATATTAGATTAAAGAAAATATGTACTAAACTATCCTAAAATTTTACCATATAATTCTATAATTAAGCTTCAAGGCGCTTTTGCTTTGAGTTTCTTTCAAGCTCAATCACTCTTCTATTACTTTAAAGTCGCTTTGGATAAAACGCTCCTATACATAGAGTTTTGGCTCAATCCTCTAAAATTCTTCAAGTAAGATTAATGAGATTCATTCCAAGGAGATTTCTTTGTAAAAGGGGGATAAGAAGAGGGTTAATTCTAAGCATATATATATATATATATATATATATATATATGACTATATTTCTAGTGGCAGGTGGCCGTGGCTTTGTCAAAAAATTATTTAGTGTTAGATGAATTGTCCTATCACTAGCTAAAGCACTTTACTGATAACCCAAAATCTTTAATCCTCTCCATAATGTGCCACAGGAAAGAAACAAAATGATATATAGCCTTTTTTTTATAAAATAAAATGATGTAGACTTATACAAATATTTTACTCTAAACTACATGAGGAAGAAAAGGGGGAAAAAAAAATAAAATAAACAAAAAGTGCCAAGTCCTTTTCATCAATTTTATTCCTTTCTTGAGGTAGTAGGCTTTCAGACCTACCAAACTAATATTCCTTACACTTTTTCTTTCTTTCTTTCTTTGACACTTTTTCTTTCTTTCTTTGTCTGCTAACTATAATTATACTCCTAAAAACTGAATTAACAATGCAAAGCATACATGCATTATTAGCAAAATAGGAGATAATATAATATAATATATAGATACATAAGAAGTACCAAGAATTGTACATGTCATGTCTACTAACCAAGCATTAAGGATTATATTACATACATCAGTCCCCACTGCAGAGCCATTTACATGTCATAGCTTGCTACCATCCTTCTTACCCTCAAAATGGCAGGTTCCTAATTAGTCTATTCCTTCATAGTACAAGTCAGACTATATTTATACTTGGAACTAAAAAAAAATTAAAATTTGAACAAAGTTAACCCAAAATTAATCTTTTTCAGTAGTGGAACCACAACCATTTAAAAAAAAAAAAAAAAAAAAAAAAAAAAAATTCTTTTTCTCACTTAAATTCCACTACAACAAACAAGTTCTTCTGCCAATTCCTCCACAAGTAAGCCAAATATTGCAAGCTCAATCTCCACGGCAGTTTCTCCAATCTGCTCTTTGTTGCTCTTCCATCCTTCAAGCTCTTTCCTGAAATCTTGCTCAACCATCATGTCAATGGTGTTGGATTGCACATCTTTCCATGACTCAAACCTCTTGCAAACTCTTCTCACTATCTCCTCTTCCCTTTCCTCAATGTGGCTTTGTTCTCCGCTCTCCTCGACGATGAGGTTGGAAACTAGTCTCTTCATGTGCTCCGGGGCTTGATGGACGCGGTAAAAGCTCGAATCGTTCAGAACTCCTCGGATGAAGCCATCAAGAGTAATCGCCTCTCTATCCGAGGCATTTGAGTCGAAATCGTCGCAATCTATATCTTCCTCTAGGTTACCGAAATGATAACTATCACCATCGCCATCCTCATCTTCGTCTTCTAGCATTCTTTTCTCGAGTTCAATTGGATCCAACTCGGCCAATCTCTCGAACCTCCGAAGCTTTTGCAATAGCTGATTCTTTGCTCCTGTGAATGAAAACAAAAGGAAAGCCAACGCTAGTTATAACCTTATTAATAATTCACAATATTGAAATAATTGTATGGTACAAATATTTGTTATCACAATCCTTATGCCCTCAATGCAGGGTAAACTATTTGGCTTAAGGATTACTGTCATTGGGTTCCACCATATAACCAAAAATAAAAAAATGACTTTATCCATCCAAAACAAACAAGTACAACAAACCAATAAACTTTATAAAGGAATCATGAATATGAGATCAATAATTGCCATATAGCAGAATTAATTGAAGTAGAGCATGAAAATTTAAAAATCCCTCCAACCATTATGAATTTCAAGTGACAAAGCAAACTTATCACAATGAATGACAATAAGCAACCATCAATAATGAGATTAAGTAAGCAACTCATCAATGATGATCCTAAAATAGAAATGGGTTCACCAAATTGGGACCCCCTAAAGAACAAGATATGCCTAAAAACCATCAAGAGAATTCACCAAACATCAAATTGAAGGGACCATATTCGATTGAAGAAGAGTAGGACTCTGCCACAATTAATTAAAGACACCAAGAAAACAAAATGTGGGGTCACCGTTGAAGTTATCACAGCCCTTCCTTTTTTTTTTTTTTTTTTTTTTTTCTAAATGTTATCTTGTCCTAGTTAACAAAAACACAAACACATTACAGTCAATGAACAGCATCCTATGGATCCCACAAAAAAAATAAAATCAAAACAAATCACTATGATCATGACCTCTCCAATAGTGTTTTAGTCCTAATAGACATTGAATTTTCAACAACCAAAAACTGAGCAAGAGTTTGACGGATAAGGACCATACAAGACTTAACAAAGGATATGAATGATGATAACAAAAATTATATATATATATATATATACATATTATATATTACATATATAATATAGATTAAGACCTCGTTAATTTCACCGATTTGAGTTTTCAGTTTTAGATTTCTACAGTAAAAAATTCTAAAAATATGTCACATCTAACTTTTTCTACTACAGTAAAAAACTCTCAGAAAATATCACATTTTAGCTCGAATTGAAAATTCGAATCCACAAAATGAACGAGTCCTAAATACTTGTATATACAATTGCTTACGTACTTTGTACAATGGCATAGCTGCTTTCCAAATTAAAATCTTCATCTTCATCTTCATTCTCACGTCCATCATAGTCGTCCTCAAATGGGGGGTCCAATACAGAGACAGGACTAAATTGTTCTTTCTCTTCTTCTTCTTCTTCCTCTATCTGAAATTCCTTAGAGCTCTCCACAAGATAACTCTCCTTTTCCTATGGTAAAAAAAGTTGACAAAATAATCTTAAAACATTGGTCAAGGAAAATAATTAACTTCGATAAAAAAAAAAATTAATAATTGGGAATTAAGATCAAGACCCCATATGGGGTGATTGGCCATATTTTGACTTTTCCAATCATATAGTTCCAAATTATAATACAGCCCTGAAACAACAATTTTTTTTTTTTTTTTTTTTTTTTTTTGTGCAATGGGTATGTCGGAATTTGGTGGTAAGAACCAAAAGAAAAAAACAAAAAACTTGGTTTTGTCCTCTTGTAAGAAAGTGAATTTTTACTGGCGGGGCCTAATTTAACCCAAAAAGATTGCATCGCCAGAGACATAATCGGAAGTACCATCATGAACACCCAAGAAAGAAAGAAAGATCATGTACACACAATTGAGCTCTCAATTGTCAAATATTATAGAAAGGCAAATTTCTTTTTTGTCATATAAGACTTTAAAAATTTATTTGAATAATTCTATCACTATATATAAAAAAAAATACTGGTAAATACAGTTTCGAAAAGCTAGATTATTATATTAAACCTATGATAATTTAACACGAAATTACATATGCCTAGAACCCTTCACATATTTCATGTAAAAAAGATTGATGGGCAATTATGTGATTTCACCTTCTTTTCAGGTCATTATCAACACGTTAATTTGATAATTTCTTTTTATTTTTATTTTCCTCTGTAAATTAATAATTTCATATATAGAAACCCAAAGAAAGAAAATAAAACGGAAATTAAGAAACAGAAAAGGACAAAACAAAAAAGTAAGCACCGACCTCTTGTCTGTGGCGGCAAGGGGAAGTCGCCGGCGACGAGAACTTCGGCGTCCGGTTACCGGAAGACGGGCTTTTTTGGAGCACAAAACGAAAAGGGCTTTGATCACAAAACTCATCAAGAATATCCTCATCATCGCAGAAATGACCTCCTTCTCTCATCACGAGCTTCCTCACAAACTCCATCGCTTCCGAGTCATGATGATCATCAGAATACTGGTCAGCACTACTACTGCAACTGCTTGATGAAGTCTCTAAATCCAAACATTTCGAAGATGAAGATGACGACGAAGACGAAGAAGAAGAAACAGTACTTGTAGTACTAATCTCATCGACAAGAAGTCCCGGTTTCTCTTTAGAAGTAAGGATTATTTCCCTTTTTCGGTTGCGAAGAGTTAGTTTTTTCAAAAACGATCCGAAAAGCCCGAAACCGGGGTTTTTGATCTGGGCTTTGGCCGGCTTATTCGGAGCTGATGACTGTTTTTGGATCCTGAGAGCGGCTTCGAGAAGAAGAGCAGCGGTTCTGGCCGGGATATGGAGCAAAATGGGGTTGTTCTTCGGGCTCTTCAACGAGCTTCTGGAGGAGACTGGAGATGGGAATTCGAAGAGAGGAGATTTTCTCACGTCAGGGCTTGAGGAGGATGAGAAAAAGCAGGCGTTTCTGCGGAATTTTCCCGGAAAGTTTTGCTGTTTGGATGGTGTCATTGTGGGCTTTGACCTGATCTTCTTGAGCTGTAAACTCTTCAGCTGTGAACGCCTGTCGGCAATGTAGTCCCTGAGAAAGAACGGCTCTTGATCCTCCTTCAGCAGCTCTCGCAAATGCTGCTTATTATTATTGTTATTATTCCCAGCCATCACACACAAAAAAAAATATATAACTTGATTTGATATGTTTTGATGAATGATTGAGATATCTACTTGATGATGATGACGTTCTTGTTCATGAAAGAGAGTTGAAGAGGTTTCAACTAAAACTTTGGTTCAAAAAGAAAAGGGTTGAGAGAGAGGTTGTGTATAAAGTGGGAGGAGAGAGAGATAGAGAGAGAGGTATTATATATATGAAAAGTTGAGGCAGGAATGAGGAGACTTCCTCATTCAAATCTGGGAAGGGGGTTTGGTTAGAGAATCGAGGCAAGAGATGGTGATAATAAACAAATTATTATTATATCATAATAGGGTTCTCAGTCTTAAAAAAAAAATAAAAAAAACACACACACACACACTTGGGGAATTAAGGTGGGTAAGAGAGTAAAGTGGTGGTAGTAATATATCAGAAGCAGACAAAGAACCGGTCTGGATAGTTCTCTCTACAACTACTATACCATAACTATACACGTATATTTATATATATATATATATATATGAAGAGAGAAAGAGAGAGATATGATATGATAAGATAAGACTATAAAATAATAATGCAACTGTTTGAGTGAAACGTAAAGATAAAGGATAATTTTGGTACATGATGTGAATAGATTCCATATTCGATGGTTATTATATGTCAATGATCATGTTATTAGGAGGTTCAATAATTATTACAGTATTATTATTACCGTAATTATTTAGAGCCAAACAGAGATAAGGCAGGCTGTGACCAGTGACTACTCACAGGATTCATGAGAAGAGTAGTGCAGTTAACTAGCTGGACACGTAAGGTCATTTCTTTCCCGAGATTTTCATACCCAATTGGTTTATGGCGCTATTTTTTCTTTTTCTTTTCTTTTTATTTTCTTATACAAACACCATCTCAACTTTTAAAATTTATCAATTTAATCTCTTTATTTTTGACAATTAACCCCTTCAAATTAAAAATTTTTACAATTAATTAAGATCCAATTGAAAATGTCGTCTATTTTATTTACGATTCTGATCATATGACGCACACGTGAGAGTTTATTGAGGTCAATGAAAGTTACTTCTTATCCTTAGAGAGTGTGGACAATTGACCGCGAAAAATTAAGAGTTTTTTTTATAATAATTGATTATGTTAGACACATTACATAACTCTCACATCACTATAATCAAAAGTTAGGGTGAAAAATGACTTTCATTAACCTCAACATATGCTCACGTGAGCGTCATATAATCAAAATCGTAAAAAAAAAAACAAACATTGTTTTTAATTGGACCTTAATTATAAAGATTTTCACGTTAAAATGATTAATTGCTAAGAAAAAAAAAAGAAACTAAATTTCTAAATTTAAAAAATTAAAGGGGTATGCGTACAAAAATAGTCTTTTTTTTAACTTGCGAAATAAGTGATTAGGGATAATTCAAACTCTAAACTTCAACACGGAACGACTAATTTTTTGACTTTTTAATGTTTACAAGAAATTTGGTATGCTTCCTCCAGATGATATCAGCGGGAGGTGCTATTATTGTTATTAGTTAAGATGACAAAAGATGTGATTGGTGTAATTGCATTGTTAATTGTGATATTGTATTTCTTTTTCTTTACTTAGGAAATGCAAACACAAGTAAAAGAGATAATAAGAAGCTTAACTTATAGATGTAATTTCACACTCATTCTTACATTAAAGTCCTCCGCGAAAAATTCTTAAGTAAAGAAGAAATTATAAATTCACTACGGATTTTAATAAGAAAATGTGTACTATTGACCATCATACATTTTGTACATGCTGAAATTATCAGATTAATTTTCACGTTTAAATTAAAGCACTCAATGTATAGATAAGCATCTTCTACCGACAAAGATATTCAAATATATTAATACTACAAAAACCTATATTATAAACTTCATAGCATGACATATATATGTAGATAATATGACACGATAGTATGATATTAGACTAATGTGTTTGGATGTCATGAGAAATTGGTCATGTTTATTCTTTTTTTTTTTCTACATATCGTGGAATTATTATTCATATTTTGGTTTCTCTTATAAGTTTCTATCATTTTTTCGGCCAAAGTAAAATTTTGAGCAAGAGGCTACCAACATTAGTATATCCTTATTAGCGTTACTAAAAGAGTTCTCTAGACATTAACAAAAATATTCATTAAAAGTCCTACAAGCGGTCTCTACACCTCAGATGAGGAGCACATCACCCTAAGTACCCGCTGAATGTGCTAATAATAAAAGTACGTGGGGTTGTGTTTTCAGGCACTTAAATCGAGTACTAACCGATAGGAAACCAGCCTTAACATTTAGGGCTTGTTCTTTTGGAGTAAAACTCAAAAAAAATTTGAATTCAAGTTACAACTTTATTCAAGTTCATGTTCGTTTGTAAAATTTGAGTTTGAACTTGAATTTTAACTCGAGTTTTAACTTGAGTTTTGGGTTAAAATCTAAATTTAAGTTTCTCTTTCAACTCAAGTTCTTAAACTTAAACTTAAGTCAATGAACAATATTTTTTCTATTCTTAAAAATGTCATAACTTTTTCGTTTTAATTCCGATTGAGATGATTTTTTTTTCTATGTGTTCATAACAAATAGACGAATAAAATCCCACACCCATATATCCTATTAAAATTTTTTGTCAACATTGAATTTTTATTAAAATATTATCTAAATACAAATTCAAGTTTTGACCCACTCAAACACAAACTCAAATAGATTCTCAATTCAAATCATAACTCAAATGTGCACATCCAAACACAAACTCAAGTTACAACTTTAACTCAAATCATAACTCAAATTCAACTCAAGATCTACACTTAAGTCATCATAACTCAAAAATGCAACCGAACATGCCCTTAATATCAAGAATAACCCAACACTCAAATATGAGAACACAAACATTAAAAAGATAATCTAACACGTGAATTTGTGACCACACACCCAACACGATACTCCCTGATCGCTAGGCAACCGCACTCGGTGGTTGTGTGTCCTCTTATTTTTATCTAGCTAGGAACAAATTATGCATGAAATTCAAACGATGAGCCATGACAAGACATAACTGTAAACCGCAATATATCTTCATATATACTTGGCAAGCTTACAAGATGCTAATATTTATGTACGAACACCATATGACTGCAAGTCCTGCAATGGACCATTGCTCAAGTTGTTATCGATTTTCAAAATATATGTCCCTCTGAGGTGGCCACTATGAGTAAATGGGACAAGAGAAAAATGGCCAAAAAGTAGTAAGGGAAATGGGAGGGGTTTTGAGTACTATTTCTGTCAAATTATAGAAAGGACATTTTGTCACACTTATATATATATATATATATTTTTTTTTTTTTTTGCTCTTTTTTGTGCAGGCGTTTGGCGAAGCAATGAAAAAGCTGAACACACCCTTATTATTATTATTTCTTTTAGGACAAATACATACGCAGTCCATTTACTCAAAAAACTTATTTTTTCCTCACTTTACAGGCTGGACACAAAAAATTCACATAAAACACACTAGAACGAGGTTAATGGTGTTGGTCTGACAATGGTCCATCTCTCTTCTTCCTTAGGTCGTAATCCTCCATAAAAGGTTAAAAGGAAACCTACCATTTGATACTATGAAAAATCATTTTCCACTTCGGAGAAAATTTTGAATCCAATACCTAGTTTGAATTTGTTCAACAATTATTTTGTACTTGTAGATATGTTCGTCCAATTACAAGATGTATGTATATATGTTATTTGAACAGTAAATGATATTTGATTCCAAAATCGAATATATGGTAGAAATACATAAATGCCACTTAAATGATATTATCTTTAAATTTATGCTGCTAAGTGGTATAAATTTAAAGATTTATATTGCTCAATTTATTTGAAAATATTTAATTTATTTATTAGTGGCATAAAATAAAGTTTTTGAATTTCAGTGGCATACCGCGTATATTTTATTAATATCTAATCCATTTACTGATCGCAAAACTTATAAATTGTCGTGCTAACTACGATCATGTACTAATTAATGCAGTATTTTAAACATATAATTCACGTGTCTACAAAACGATAATCAAATTCTTGAAGTCAATATAGGACGGTTTTATGTCAAGAAAAAAGGGGATATAATTTTCTAAAATAGTCCAATACTTAAAAATTAAAGAAAAAATCTCCCTATTAACGTACTATATTTTTTTTATCGTCAAATATTCATCATATTTATTAGTTTTGAATACATTTTCATCGTGATATGATTGGATATTCTACTTTTTTTATATGAAATTCTCCCTATTATTATGTATTGATTTACCATATTTAGGGAAAACAATTGGAGAAAAAAAAAAAAACAAAACAAAACAATAACATTGTCATAAATTATTGAAACTGTTAAAATCTAATTTCTCTTTCCTTTTGTTTATCATGAGTACTGGCCAAAGATCTTGTTTCCGTTTTGATTTGTTTTATCTTTGCCAACAAGAGACTACCGCCCAGCTAATCAATCACGAAAGTACAGACAGCAAAACCCAAAAACTGTATACTGTCTTTTTATCTTCCCAAATTACCCTTTTACCGCGACAGTCGTTTTCCATTCGGCCGTCAATCAACCAAAATCACCGACCGGCCGGTACGGCAACCTCAAAATATCCCCAGCCGAGATATCGCGCCAACGTGACGATATTTGAAGGCATTATCTCGGCGGCATCGGAGCCAAAACGGCAAAGAAAAGCCGCAAAACGACAAGATAAATTATAAGATAGAGAAAACGCGAGTGCATGCCTACTTAACAGCGTACAGAAATCCGACATTGCGGAGAACCGGATCTTGACCGCACCCAACATCTTTGACGCATCTCAGCCGTTGATCTTGATTACCATCCACATCCACATCCACGTCAGCACACACGTGGGTTACGGGCGTCCTCCGGTTCGTACGTAAAAAAAAATATATTAAGAAATAAAAATGAAAAATAAAAAAATTTCCGCGTTGTAATGTCCAGTCCACTTCCACCAAAATCACCTTTAATTTAAAAGAGTTTGAAAATGTTGTATATTTTTGTTTCGTTCTACTTTTTTTTTTCTTAATTAATTTATTTTTTACTCCTTCGGTTTTGGAATTGAATACGGATCATTTTGAAAAGAGTGACGCGTGAGAGAGTTTGATTATTTTTATTTTTCTTTTTTTAACGGTTTCGAGTTTACCTTTTTTCGTAATGCTAGAAATTGAAATGAACATAGAACTTTTTTATAAAAAAATAAAAATAAAAATAAAAAATAATATTTTAGCAGTTGTATTGTACCTGCATGCTCTCTGCACCATAATTTATACACAGAAAGATATACGTTTTTGACATTTTTTTTTAATCAGGCACTTTCTTCAGTTTAATTTTCTTGGAAAGAATGTCTGAAAAAGTAACTTGTCAGTCAAAAATGCCCAGTTGGGGGCTTTGCAGTTA